AGTAAAGGGCAATAGGATGGGGATGGAATGGGCTGGAATCTGCAGCCCAGTCAGAATGCAAATGATTCCAAGGAAATGTAGTTGGACATCCCTGCGTCAATCACTTTAGTCTCCTGTGAATGATGCAAATTACCTTTGGTGCAAATGACCCTCCCTGTTTTGTGGTTGGTTTGAAACAGTTTTTAGCACTTCAATTTGATGGGCTGACCCATGTTAGATAGTGATGAAGAGGACACCAAGATTTAACAATTCCACTCCCAAGAATTGACCCAAGAAAACATTAGCACAGATGCACCAGGTGACCTCTATAGAATGTTTGTAGCAGCTCTGTTCATAATAGCCCAAAATAGAATCAATCAAAATGCGTACGGAAGGAGCATGGAAAAATAAATCACGTATTTTCACCCAATGAACTATAATAGAGGCATGAAAATGAATGAGCTACGGGCCGGCCCATGGCTTACTCGGTAGAGTGCGGTGCTGATAACACCAAGGCCATGGGTTCGGATCCCATATATAGGGATGGCCGGTTCACTCACTGGGTGAGTGTGGTGCTGACAACACCAAGTCAAGGGTTAAGATCCCCTTACCGGTCATCTTTAAAAAAAAAAAAAATGAATGAGCTACAATTTCATGAATCAACATGGATGAATCTTGTTGAGTCCAAATAGTAAATCCTAGGAAACAATATTCAGTATAGTGCCTTTTAATAAAGTTTAAAAAAAAGTAAAAATAAGATAATGTATACATATATTAACTATATGTAAAATCTGAAAAAAATAACCCAAGGATATGCAAACCATAACAATCAGGATAGTGGTTTTGTGTGAAGGAGAGGCAAAAAGGTGTATACGAAAGAAGCACACAGTGTAGGAAATGTTCTACAACTTGGGTTGGGTGGTGGGTTCATGGGTATTCATTATGTTATGCATAAATGCATAAATAAATAAGGGCCATGCATGGGCTAATGATAACAGTATGTCATGAACCAGGGACTTTGATTAATTCAATTCTTATTCAATGCCTTAAATGAAAGAAAGAAGGAAAGAGATAGAGAGGCAATGGAGCTGGCCTTCCTCCCTTCCAACTGTTGTCTTTCCTTCCTCTACTTTGCCTTTAATCATTCATTCCATAAACCCTTATTGGCTGTTCTGCTATATACCATGCCCTAGGCTGGGTGCCAGGAGCACTGGGATGAATCAGAAACAGTCCTGCCCCAAAGAGTCACTGTCTGATGCAGGAGTCTGACAGTTCTCAAAGAGTTTTCAAGGTGCTATTGCAGAGGTAAGGCAACAAGGTGCTGCAGGGCTCAGAGAAGGGGCCCCTAACCCAGCCTGGGCTACTTGGGAAGACTGTGGAGCATTACGCTTTGAAAAAGTAGCAAGATGAAAATGTAGGTGGGGGTGAAAAGGCTATAAGGTGGAAAGGACAGCTTTCCCTTGAAGTGCTCATATCTTGGAGTGGAGGGCAAGAAAACAGGCAACAGCAGCAGTGGGATTGGGGCCATGAAAGAGGGAAGCACAGGCCTGAGGATGCACACAGGAGGGCAGTATGCCAAGCTTGGGGTGCCAGGAAGGCTTCCTGGAGGAGATGAAATGCATACAGGCAGGGGCTGAAGGATGAGTCAGAGTTACCTGGGCAAAGTTAGTTGCAGGGAGAAAGGTCAGCATGTGCAAAGGCCTGTGTCAGGGAGAAACAGCTTGTTGCACTGGAGGAGATCAGAGGGCCCCAAGTGGCCTACTCCAGCGCCTAGATGCAGGGAGGTGAAACTAGAGGAATAGGCAAGAGCCAGAGTCCATTGAGAAAACAACCCTTTATGAAGACAGCCCTGGCAACAGAGTAGAGGTGAAGAGCACAGGAGCCAGAGCTGAGTACATGATGGGCAGCAGGCACCACCCTGTCTTCAGGGCTCAGTCAGGGCTGCTCCTGAAGGGCAGGCACAAGAGATGCGGGTCTCTGGCCCTGCCTGCACCTCCTTGAAGTAAGCTTCAAGCTCCGAAATTTCTTAGAACTGAGGGCTTTTCCTCCACTTCTGTATGACCACAGTTTAGTACTTCTGCAAACAGAGAAGGAATGCAAGTTTTCAATAGCTAAAACCTGGTAAGTAGGGCCGGCCCATGGCTCACTCGGGAGAGTGCGGTGCTGAGAACACCAAGGCCCTGGGTTTGGATCCAGTACAGGGATGGCCAGTTCTCTCACTGGCTGAGCGTGGTGCTGACAACACCAAGCCAAGGGTTAAGATCTACTTACCGGCCATCTTTAAAAAAAAAAACAAAACCTGGTAAGTAGATTGTAAAGCAAGCTCCGTGGGGTTCACAGCTTTGCTTTATAAAAAGGGGTCTGGACCCCCGACTCCAGCATCCCCTACTAGATCTTCTGCCCCAGGCATAACTTCGCTTTGGCCCAAAGATTCCAAGAGTGCTGCAGATCTTGGTCTTCTGGTGAGAAGTAGAAGAAAAAAGATTTAGTGTGCACCTACTGTGTAACAAGTTACAGTACATAATCTTACTATGAGGAAATTCTTCTGTTTTTATTTTACAAATGATAAAGCTAAGACCCAAAGAGTCTGAGTTGAGATTTAAGCCCAGGTCTGCCTGACTACACCCATGAAATAACGTGCACTCTTTGGAGTGAGACTGTGGCTAGTTCTCTGAGGGTTTATTTTTAGAATCACTCTTGTACAGTTAAGAACCTCCTGTATTAGTTATCTATTGATGCATAACAAATTACTCCAACATTTAGCAGCTTAAAACAGCAAACATTTATTATCTTACAGTTTCCATGGGTCAGGAATCTGGGCACAGCCTAGTTGGGTGCCTCTGATTCAAGGTCTCTCATGAAGTTGTAGTCAAGGTGTCAGACAGCACTAGTCTGATATGAAGGCTCAGCTGGAGGGAGCTTCTTCCAAGCTCACGCACGTGGTTGTTGGCAGGCCTCAGTGCCTCACCAGGTGGGCCTCTCCTCACACCTGCCTAAGGACATGACAGCTGCCTTCCCTCAGGGAGGCAATCCCAAAAGACAGCAAGAGAGAGAGTGCCTGCCCAAAACAGAAGCCACAGTCTTCGTATCCTAATCTTGGAAGGGACATCCCATCACTTCTATTGTATTCTATTTGTGAGAAGCCAGTCAGTAAGTCCAGCCCACACTTAAGGGCGGGGGTGACACAAGGGTGTGAGTACCAGGAGCAGGGATCACTGGGGACCATCCTAGAGCCTGCCAACCTCTATCGAAAGAGTTTAATAGCCAGCTCATCCTGGCTCTCTCAAAATGGCAAGTAGTTTATCCAGGTGCTGGGGGATTGGGGGACCTACAGGGATGTTTGGAGATCCTGTTATGTCCACTTCCCTTGTGCCCAAAAGCATAGTGGGTGAACCTATGTGGAGCTCCCAAGAAAAGGGGGAAGTTAACTTCTTAAATTGTGGCCACTGCTCCCTCCCCACCTTGTCCTTGAAGCTGCTGTGATGTTTCCCAGCAAGGAGGGGAAGAAATGGGGGCCCCCCCCATTAGCCTGACTGGGTTGGGGTCTAGGTAGAGAAACAATAGAGAAGCCATCAGCTTAAAAATCTTCTTTAAGCTTCCCTTTGCTTTTGACCTTCCTTCTTCAAATTTTCTTTTCTTGTCCCCAAACCATGTCCATGACCCCCCAAAAGCTTGCAGAATAGGTGCTCCAGGAGCTTCTAGATAGGGGGTAGGAAGCAGATGCCAGCAAAGAAAGTAAGTGTGAATGCGGGCACTTAGGCCAGTTCAGATCACATTTATTCAGCATCTGTTCCGTGCTGGCACAGGGCATCAGGAGATGTATAAGACACACATACTTGCCGTCCAGAGGTTCACAGTTTTCACAGTTTCAGGAAGGGAACAGAAAATGCAGACCGACAATGATGAAACAGTAGAATGAGTACAATAAACACTTGGTCAGTACACCCTTCTTGGCCACCACAGCTCTCCTGGTTCATAAGGCATCATCTTTTGCTTGGACTGGTACAGTAACTTCCAAGCTGGTTTACTCCATCCATCCATCTACTCTTGCTGAGATCTTTCTGGAATGCAAATCTGACAAGGCCACTACCCTGGTTAAAGGTCTTCTCAACTGATCTTGGGGAAAGGCCAAGCTGTCTGGATGGTCCCCAGGACCCTAGGCACTGTCTATTCCTCCAGCTTCCTCTTACCAGCTTCTGCTCACTCTCCAGACATACCACAGGCTCTGTGCTGTGGCTGGTACCTACCCCGGTGACCATCCTGTCCCCTGCCTCCAGGAGCTAATTCATGTAGCCACCTCCACTAGGAAACATTCCCAGATCTCCCTTCTCAGTCTGGGAAATTAGCCCAGAGCCTCCCTCAAAACATTTCCCTCACAGGGTTCGATCATCTTTCGGTGTCTTCTGTGTCCCTGATGAAACGGGTGCTCTGCATCTGGACTCCTCGCCTGGTGCCTGAGAGGGATGGGGTCAGTCCACTGTGGAATGGCCCTGAAGTCAACTCTGCGATGACAGACGAGGGTACCCAGACCAGGAACTTTCAGCTTCCCCAGGGAAACGCGGATACCAGGAGCACCTTCCCGGCCTCTGCTCCGACCACGCCCTCGCCCCTGTCTCTCAGCGGCAGCTCGCGACGAAGCGACCCTCCGCCGGCGCCTCCGTGAAGCAGGTGCGGCATGCGATCGGACTTTAGAAGGCGAGTTGGAGCCTGTTCTAGATAACAAAGTGTGGACATGTGTGTGTCTGAGGAAGGGGATATGAAACCTTCCTCTTCCCTCCGGCTGCTATTTCCCACGTGCGTTGAGTAAAGGCACCAAAGCTGCGCGGTGACTGTGGGCGTCTCCTCCAGCTCAGGGGCCCCCGCCCTGGCGCTGCAGGCGCGCTTGAATGAATGGGGGCGGACCCGCGCGCATGAATGAGTGCGTGAGGGAGGGAGGGTGCGCCCGGCGCCCTCTCGCCGCGCCCGAGCGCCAACTTCGCCAAGAACGCTCCCAACTCCAGGCCACGCCGCGGGGCACCCGCCGCGAAGACGCGCCTCTGGCCCTGGGGAGGGAGCCGGCATCTGCCGGGTCGCTCGGGCGCCCCTGAGTGGGCGGCGGCGGCAGCAGACGCCTCTCCCCGGAGTCCCGGACCTGCCCGCGCTGGAAATTCCTCCGGGGCAGGCGCTCGCCCTGTCTTTTATGGTGAGTACTCTCCTGCTCCTGGGGAGCGGCGCGCGGGGGCCGGGGGCCGAGCTGCGGCCGCGCGGACTCCGTGAGGCCCGCACTCGTCCCAGCCAGCGCTCCCGGCGTGGGTCCGGTCCCGGCCCGGGACTTCCTCTCTGCGGACGGTGGCGGTCCTAGCTGGGTGGTTTGCGTGCAGCCCCCCGGGGCGTTGGAGGCCGGCGCCTGGAACCTGGGTTCGAAGCCCGCCGCTTCTCTGCGTAGTGGAGCCAGCACACAAAACTGCTTCCCGAGTCACCTCGCCGGGGTTTAGGTCCAAGATCCGTCACTCGCTGGCTGGGTGACCTTGGGGAAGGCGCCCAGCCTCGGTTTCCTTATCCGTAGGATGGGAATAATAATGGTACCTTCTTTTAGGGACATTGGGAGATCTGCGGGATGGTGCTTGTACGCAGACCTGTGCCTGGAACATAGGAGTCACTCAGTCGTATGTCAGCTAGTATTATTATTAGCTTTGTGAGCTCCAGCGTGTCATCCAACTTTCCTGAGCAGCAGCTGCAGCTCCCTCGTCTCTGTAACGAGGACAATAATTCCTGGGGGTCCGTTGGTCGGGGACATCCAGAGCGGTGGAGTAAAGCGCCTGGCACGCAGCAGGCACCCGTGAAGTGGCGGCTCTGTTGCCGTTTACTCTCGCCGCTGGCGCAGGGAGGCTGGTCGCCTGGCCCGAGAGCTGCTCGCGGCCAGTTCCGGCCTTGCTTGGAAGCAAACTTGGCGATGCTCAGAAAGGGAGGGGGTCGGGGACTTCGGGAGTCCTGAGCTTGGGGCGCTGGGAAGGAGGGCTGGACGCGCCGCGGGCTCAGAGCCAAGGAGGACGCCGAGCCCCCGACCTCTGACTGGCGGGAGAAGCCGGGGGTGTGGCTGCTGTCGCCGCTCCACGGCCGAGCGCGGGCTGCTGCGGACTGGAAGGGAGAGGAGGCACCTTTGTGCCGCTGTCGTAAGGAGGTGGTGAGCTCTCAGCTCTGGAGTCAGGCTTGGGTTCGAATTCTGCTTCCGCAAACAGTCTGCAGTGTGACCTGGGGCAAGTTCTTTAACCTTTTCCAGCTCAAATTCCTTTTCTGCGCCCCACCCACCTCCTCCTCTTAGGAATCTGAGCCCCCTATACTCCTGCCCACCTAATTTCCCCCACAACTTGATGAGCCAAAATGTGGAAGACGTGAATTGTTATGCCCCAGCCTCAGGGAAACACTTCTGAAAGAATCTGGGGTCTGCCCACTCTGTCCTGTGGGAAGAAGAGATCAGAGCATGAGATCTCGAATTTGTAGAAAAACAAAGTGTCAAAGGCATGATATAAACATGCTTTAGACAAGGGCATATTCTTCTGAGAGGCATACCCTCTGATTTAAAGGAAGTTTAAAAAATGGTAGTAAAAACTTAAGCCACCGTTGGCAAACGACTAATAAAATCCAATTTGCTGGGCCATTTTGCTCAAATCTCTCTCCGGTTTGTATTTCTTTTTTATTTTAAAGACTGGTAAATCCAATGATACGAAAATAAAATCTGCAGGGAGAAGAAATCACCATAAACAGTTAAAAGATATATGACAAACTGGGGAAAGAACTGCCACTCCTATCGCAATGGGCTCATCTCTTTAACTGTGTAAGATTCAAGTCAACCAGCAAAAGACAGAAAACGGACAAAGACTATAGACAATTCACACACACAAAAGGAAACAGAAATGCCGCTAAACCATATGACAAGATGCCCTACGTCACTCAATGAGAAAAATGCAAGTTAAAACTACAATAAGGGCCGGCCTGTGGCTCACTCGGGAGAGTGCGGTGCTGATAACACCAAGGCCACGGGTTCGGATCCCTTACAGGGATGGCCGGTTCACTCACTGGCTGGGCGTGGTGCTGACAACACCAAGCCAAGGGTTGAGATCCCCTTACCGGTCATCTTTAAAAAAAAAAAAAAAAAAAAAAAAAACTACAATAAGATTCAGTTGTTCATGTATCAGATTAGCAAATAGTAATAACCATTTATCAGAAGCTTCTTTTAAAAAATGTAAATAGATCAAATTCCTCCCTAGCTTCAAAACTCCTCAAGGCTGCCAAAGAGTAAAATCCAGACCCGCAGGTCCTCCAGATCTGCCCGCTGCCCTCCCACCCCTTTCCCACCATTGTCCTCTGCATCAACCCCAGCTCCCTGCCCTTCTTGGTTTTGCTCCAACATTCCAAGGGATTACTCACTTGCTGTTCCCCCTGCCTAGAATACTTGTCCCCCTGGCTTTTTGTAGAACTGGAAGTTTCTCATCATTTATGCGGGCCTGTCCTTGGTTCCTGTATACCTGTCCTGGAAAGTGGCCAAGGCCTGGGCCAGTGGCAGAGTTCCTTGCCCTTTCGGGGAAAGACCCAGTACAACTTACCATACAGGAGTTATGTATTAGTCCTTCTTGTGTTGCTATAACAGAAATACCTGAGATGGGGTTATTTATAAAGAAAAACAAAATTTATTGCTTACAGTTTCTGAGGCTGGGAAGTCCGAAGTCCATCTGGTGGTGGCAACAGTGACCCAGGGGTCTCACATTGCAAGATGGTGGAAGCAGAGAGACCAAGAGAGAGAGCTTCTTATTCCTTCTCTTTTTAAAGCCCTCAGAACCACGCCCCTGACCACCACTTTTAATCCATTCCCTGAGACATGATCCTACAATCTAATCACCTGTTCAAGGCTCCACCTTTCAGTCACCATAATAGGATTTCCCACCCTCTTAACAGTCACAGTAGGGACCAAGTTTCTAATACGTAAAACTTGGGAGGCAATTCAAGCTTCACTAGTTTTGGGGGGACATAATTCAATCCAAGTTACTTAATACAAGTTACTTAATTTTCCCTGAGCTGCCTGGCCTGTTGCCACACATCCAGGCTCTTGAAAGGTCTCTTCTCTGTTGGTACAGAAACAAAGGGTCTCAGGCAGCCCCCCAGCTAGAACAGGCAGCTCGATGTGGAAAAGCAGAGGAGTAGTGGGACCTAGACTGAGGTCACCAGAAGTCTCTGTCTCATAGTCATTTTTTAAAAAATAACACTTAATGTGAATATGACCATACGTGGTTGGCAAAAAAAAAAAGATCAACAATAAAAAATAAAAAACCAGCCATACATTTTTAATAAAACTTGCTCCCCACGTAAGCCAACTGGTTTACTGCTGCTCAGTTCCAGAAACAGGGATCTGTGCTGAAGCTGTAGGAAACACAGCTGTCTGTGCCGCACTGTTTTAGAAAGAGAACGGTGTACCCCAAATCATTTATCATGAACTTTGTGGACTTTCAGAAGAACTTTCCAGGGCAGTATTGATTGCATGCGATTTTTGCTTCACACATTAAATTTAAAACTTAATCCCCATTTAAAGTGTATACTTTAATTATGGAAAAAATGTTTCTTGTTAAAAATGCAAACCAGGGCGGCTGGGCCGTGGCTCACTTGAGAGAGCGTGGTATTGACAACACCAAGTCAAGGGTTAAGATCCCCTTACCAGTCA